GTCTGTGTTAATTGGTTTCCCTTTTCTTTGTTGAAGAGGGTCTGTGCAATCCTTCTGCCTAGTCCGCCATCTTGCCCCGCCTCGTGTTTCTTCTCATCTTGAGACACACCACATCAGCAAATGACGGTCCTGAAAACTGTACTCTTTCTACATCATTAAGGTTGGCTCTACTCTGGGGAGGCAGCTCTTCCCCAGCCCTATTTTGAGTGCCTTCCAACCTGAGGGTCTTATCTTCTGGCACTAAATAGGACAATGTTTCAGGGCTGTTCATAAAGTTTTCCAACAATATATCAGACAGTGTTTCTCTGCTATTCATAAAGTTTTCACTGGCCAATTCTTTGAGAAGTGGATAGCTTTTTCCTTCTTCTGAGTCTGTCTTAGTTTGGAAGCTCCACTGAAGACTGTCTACCATGGGAAACTCTGCTGGAATTTGAAACACTGGTGACAGAGCCTCCAGCCTCACAGCAATATGCATGCCACCACCTTAAGACAAACTGACAGATAAGTTTCTCTCCCTTAGCTGTTCCAAACCATTATGCTCACTTCCTGGGTGCTCCCAGGTGCTCCCACACCTACCTGCCAGTGCCCGGCTCATTGACGCTTACTGGCGCCACCCTCAGGCACTCCAAAACTCACCTGCCAGCACCGGGCTCACTGGGCAATATATATACAATATGTTGTTGTTTGTCGTCGAGTTGGACCCGACTCATAGTGACCCCTCCTTGGGTTTCCAAGGCAGTATCACTACGGAAGTAGATTGCCCCATATTCCTTCTGAGGAGTGGTTGGTGGGTTTGAACCACCAGCCATCTGCTTAGCAGTCAAGTGCCTTAGACACTATGCTACCAGAGCTCCCATATACAATACATATATTACACTAAAATTATTTTCAACTAATCTTAGTCAAAATTAAGCTTTAAAAAGAAAGATTTTTGCTTATCATTTTGCCCATTGTTAGAAGATTCCAAATTCTAAATAGTACCTACCTAATACTCCTGCCAACCCAACTTCCCCACTCCACTTTGCTGGAAAAACCTAATTTGCTTCTGTTGTTGACCATCTCTTTGTTCAGGTAAGTGATCCTGTCCATCTCTGCGTCCATGGGTGACTCGTGATCAGTATTTAAGCCAGTCCTAATTCCTCTCCCTTGCAAGTAAGTAGAATAAACATCAGCATGTGACCCACTCTTGGCCAATGGGAATCACGCTGGGGGGCTTCCTGTAAAGATGTTCCTCTGTAATAAAAAACTATGTGAAAAGAGCTCCTGCTCTTCTCCAGCTGCCTGTTTTCATGCCCATATGTGATGTTTGAAACCATGGCAACCATTTGGAGACTGAGGGGACAGGCCTAAGAACAAAGTCAATAAACAAAGGATAAAAGAACACTAAGATGAGAAGATCCTGTGTATTTAATGATATTGTTGGGCCACTGAACTAATGAATTTAGAAGTACCCTGCCTTGGGATTTCTTATGAGTTAATAAGCCACTAATTGTCAAAGCTACCTTTAGTGAGGTCTTCTATTACTGAATCGTTTCCAATTATAACAAAATAGTGAACAAAGACTGATGAGTAATAACAAGTAAATTTTTCTTAAACTGTGAAAACATTTTCAGCCTCAGTTTGAGCAAACTGAAGATAGAGTATGTCATAAAATTTAGGTGAGAACAACTTTCAATAAGTATTTTGGCTCTCTAAAAGAGAGCCATCTAAGATACATAAACTAAAGGTAGCACTGTGATGGTGAAAAAAATCATCTGTTACTGCCACCTTTTAGGCTTAGGAATTTTGTAAAGAATTTTGTGAAGATGTTACCCCCAGATAATGTCTCCTAACAAAATTTGGCATGGCCATTAGAACCAAACCTATAGAAAACAAAAATAAGCAAGTAAATTTGTGAGGAAATCACATAATCTGCCTCAAATGTGTGCTAACTGGTAGAGGATTTGTAAGTTCCAGAAACAAGGAGGGCAGAAAATAGTTTTAACAAAATTATAGATGGAAAAATAAAAGGTAGAAATAGTTATGATTTGATGAAAAATAACCAAGAAAGACAAGGGGTACTTCAGGGATATGCCAATGAAACAGAATCCTAATTTGCAACATGTCAGGGAGTGAGGAGGCCTCCAGTAGCCTTGCACTGAGCATAAAAGAAATAGCTCAGGGCTCAGCCATGAGGGATACTCCAATTTTACACTAAAAACCAATATGATGTTAATATTACATATGCTAAAAATGACAATGTAGATTGACACAGTGATGGAATTACTTCTCACTCATCTCCTGAAAATGCTATGGTCAGAGTCAAATTGCTACCACTCACCAGTTGCAAAACTTTGGGGGTTTACTCAGGAGAAATGAGCCAGTCTCTGACTCATGGTCAGTAGGCACAGCAGTAGGAGGTTGTGCACTGAAAATAGGGTGGGCAAAGTCTCCATAATGAACAGGCGCGCTCCTGCCTATTCCCTCTGCTCAACTCTCAAGTGTGGGGTTACTATGTTTCCTCCCTAATCAAGGAATTAAAGGACTTCTGTATGAAGAAATTGTTGAACCCAAGAGAAATGACACTCAGAAACTGAAATTTGGTGATCCTCAGTTAACGTCAGGCAGAACTTTATACAAACTGTGAAACCCACTATGCAGGAAGCTCTATTTATGCACAAAGAGCTTCTATTCAGGATCTGAGTGTCTTAACTGTAAGTGAACAATTAAGAACTTCTGGGCATTTGAGGAAATCTTCTAACATGAAAGGCAGAAATTATAATGGGGAAAAAAAACAGAATTCAAAAGAAACAAAGTAAAAGCAAATAGCCAAAGAAAACATTTAAATTGTACAAAATAGAAGAAAAAAATCATATTCTGAGACAGCAGACAGTTACATTTATGAAAATAAGCACAGAATATTATAATCAAAAAATAGACCACTTTATATAATAAAAATGTCCCTCTTTATCCCTGGTAATATTTCTTATTCTGAAATCTATTTTGATATTAATATAATCAGTCCAATTTTCTTTTGATTAGTGTTACCATAACATATCCTTTTCTATTCTTTTACTTTTAACGTAACTCACTTTCTTGTAGACATCATGTAATTGAGTCTTACTTTTCTATCCAATCTGACCATCTCTGCCTTTTAATTGGAGTGTTTAGGCCATTTACATTAATGTGATCATTGCCATGGTTAGGTTTAAATCTATTTTGCTATTTGTTTTTCATTTGTTCCAACCATTCTTTACTTCTTTTTTCCTCCTGTGATAGTTGGAGTTGTGTGTTAATTCTCACAATTCTTCCACATAAAAATACCAAAGTTTTTACTAACTCTGATTCCTTTTCTCCACCCATCACATTTAGAATTCTTCCTTCTACAGAGGACAGACAGAATCATACTCATGAGCACAGTGAAACTTAGGACCACAGCAGAAACTATCCCACCACCACCCAAACTGGAAACACAGGCAAACTCTCTAGAGGGAAAGAACAAAATCATTGTAAGGCACATTAATACAGAGAGAAGAAATGGAATTTTATTAAATTAATAACTAAATGCCTTCCATTAGTGGCACAGTCCCTAAGGCATTTGACTGCTAACCAGAAGGCTAGCAGTTCAAACCCACCAGCCACTCTTTGGAAGAAAGACCAGGCAATCTACTTCCATAGAGATACCACCTTGGAAACCCAAGAAGAGGTCACTATGAGTCCAGATTAACTTGGCAGCAATAAGTTTGGTTTGGTTTTTGGTCTTCCATTAGTAGTTAGCACATCCTCTTCTACTATGCAAATTATGATATCCTGATATCTAATTGAAGACATACAAATATTAGCTAACAAAGAATGAACTACAGAACTAAGTATTACTACACACACAATCTCTCTATTATGGATTGAATTGTGTCCTCCCCAAAATAGGTATTGAAGCCCTGGCACTTGTACCTGTGGTTATAATCATGTTCAGAAATAGAGGTGTTTTTTTTTTTTGTAATGTAAATGTGACCACACCACACACCAGAGCAGGGTAGATCCTAAACCTAATCACTTCTGAGTTATAATAAGAACAGAATAGACACCGAGACACACATGGAGGTGGGGGATGGGAGACAACAGACACCAAAGAATGCCAAGGAACTCCAACAAAGGGGGCTACCAATAAAGAAGGACCCTACCTTACAGCCAATGTCCTCATTTGGACTTCTAGCCTCCAAAACTACAAGATGAAAATTTTCTGTTCTTTAAAGCTACCCATTTGGGGTGTTTTTCTGTTATGGTAGCACTACGTAGCTAAGATACCCACTCAATGTGCTTAAAAAAAAAAAAAAAAAAAAAAAAACTGGGGATGTGAATTTACCTCAATCTATTTTCTAACAAAACAGACTTTGTCTCAAAAACATGAATTTCCTGCTTATTCTCAAAAAAAAGAAAAAAAGGAAGAAATAGCTGTACCATTTTTGGAAATGTCAAAACTCTCTCCTGAAGAATATCAAATCAGTAATCATCTTCTTTTCCATTGCTCACACCATCAACTATAATGAGTCTGGTCTTCCTATTGTTAATGAAAAATTACTACTCCTGAAATCAGATCAATAGGGTCCAGAGAACAAGTATATAAATGGAGAAATTGATAACTCCCACTGCAAAGAGCATCTCCCTAAGCCCTAGGTATGTTTGGTAGAGTCACATGTCCAAAGCAACAGGAGCACAATTGTACAGCAAAAATAATCCCTTCAAATACATCCTGAAATATAACTCTTGTTCTCCAGCTAAACATGAGATAGAGGGGGCTACATCATGACTGAAAAATACTCAAGGAAGCACCTTTCTCTACAACTTGGAGCCTAATGTGCCCTGGTTGGACAACAATGTCAGGGGAGGTTTTGATATTGCAGATAAAGGTGCCATTGGGAATAAAATCCTTCTTTTCTGTGTTGATTGTTGATGTATCTTTCTTGCCCACATCTCTAGCACAGCTGATTCTGTCCTTTAATAGTGGATAATCTCTGAGATACTCTTCCCTTGGGAATAGTGGGAAAACAGCAACTAGAAAAGAAAAACAACAACACATGAGCTAGTCTCAAAGTCAGAATCCTAAATTCTACAAAGCATGTTGTGAAAGATTCTTTTTAAAAAAATGAGATCAGGACCTAATAATAGGCTCTGTTTGCCAAGGGATATATGGGAAGCTGACATATATGGGAGATGAGACAGGTGGTGAGGATATAAGTGCTGCCAACTATTAAATTGAGGAGCACAGCACAGTACCCTGCTTACGTAGCTAACATACAAACAAAACAAAGAT